TATGTGTAATACATATACACACATGCAGGAAGCTGAACTAAAGTTGAGGTTTGGAAGTGTCTGCTGGGACCCGCTTGCAGATGCATTTCGTGGGAAGGAAGTGTTCTTCCTGTGCAATTTCAGTGTCAACGTCAAGAGCATGGGTTAATGGGGGTTGGAATGTTGATAACTTAAGGCACCTAAAGTCTGATGAAATCTGCAGGCGTCATACACAGCGACAAACAGAACCCCTGGGAGGCCATGAGCAGCTCAGCATCTCATTTCATGTGGGGACATGAAGGCCTGGGACTGTCCTCTGTACTCACCATCAGATTGACTGCAGGCAAGTCTGAAATGCATTTTCTCGATTAATAGTTGATATGAGAGGGCCCAGCCCACCATGGGAGATGCCACCCGTGGGCAGGTGGTCCTGGGTTGTATGAGAAAGCAGATGATTGAACCATGGAGTACAAGCCAGTAACCACGGTTTCTGCTTCAGTTCCTGCCTCCACGGTCCTGCCCTGTCTCCCCTTCATGAAGGACTGTAAACTGTAAGGTGAAATAAACCCTCTCCTCCCCAAATTGCTTGTGGTTGTAAACTTTATTATAGCCATAGAGTCCAAACTTAACCCATATCTTCTGACTTTCCACAGATTTCAAAGCATTTTCTCCTCGTTAGCCCAGGTACGTAAAATATGTGGACTTCTTGGCCGCTAATGAACTTCTCACTGCAGTAACAGACACAGCCCAGGAAGATCCTAGATGCTGCTTCAGAGTTTTTGTAGTATTTCTACCCTAAACTGCCTCTCCACACCCCCTTCAATCTTTCCTGGTTTCTAAAACTGGAGTTTTCAATAGTCTGGAGCCAAGAATAGGTGTTGAGCCAACTATTACTGCCACGGATAGCTTAAGAGCTATGAGTGTTTAAACTTCAACCTGTTTCTTGTTTGTTTGGGTGAGTGGTGGGTGTTCTAAGAGGAGTTGGGGGATGGGAAAGAATATGATAAAATACAATGTATGAAATTCTCAAATAGTAAAATAAGTAAATAAGTTTCGGCCTATTGTCCCTTTGACGGACCTGAACAGACCATATTCCTTCCTAAAAAGCTTCTCCTGTGTCTTCTGAAGACATGGGCCTTTGCAGTATTTTTACCTCTGCTGTTTGGAGAATCCTAGGAGGGAAAGAGATGGGGGAGGAGATGAACAGTGAAATAATTTAGGTGGGTCCATTGGAAATGTGAACAGTGCTGTACTGGTGAGTACAGAGGACAGTCCCAGGCCTTCATGTCCCCACATGAAATGAGATGCTGAGCTGCTCATGGCCTCCCAGAGGTTCTGTTTGTCGCTGTGTATGATGCCTGCAGATTTCATCAGACTTTAGGTGCCTTAAGTTATCAACATTCCAACTCCCATTAACTCATGCTCTTGACGTTGACACTGAAATTGCACAGGAAGAACACTTCCTTCCCACGAAACGCATCTGCAAGCGGGTCCCAGCAGACACTTCCAAATGAGATCACCTTCACGGTAAACACCGCTCTGTGACGTCTGTGGCTTTGAAATCACGGCGGTGATGCATCAAACAAGTTCAGAGTTGCTGCTTTTCGCTGGGAGAAGTGCTGGCCTTTCTGTACCCATCCCTCCCACCCCCACCACGGCTCTGATTCAGCTTTCAGCTCATTTCATAATTGGTCTCATTTTCAACCCCCTTCCCGTCTCTTACGTTCATGTGGCCTTTAAGATCTTGAATTTCCACTCTGGGGCTCACAGCTTGCCTTGTCATGAAACCACAATCTGTGGTTTTAAAAGCCAGCTGGGTGCACTGAGCCAGGTGTACCTAATGAGTCTGCAGGTGGGTGCCATCTGTTACCGGATGGGGCTCCATTTCACATCAATGTACTTCCTATTCTGGACATTAATTTCTTCCCTCTGTTCCCTCAGGTTGCTGTCTTGTTTTCCCTTCTTGAGAATTTCCTTCTTTGTCAGTAACTTTTTATTGTGTTTTTAGCTGCTTTGATAGAGAGATTTTGACCAGTTCAACCTTTTACCAACTCATGTTCCTTGGTCTTGCAAAGGAAGCTGGTACTGTTCCTGGGCTTGTTATTAGTGTATGTAATAGATACAAACCTGTCTGTTATTTACAGATACAACAGGAAGTGGAGTTGATGTAAAACTGAAGCCTGCTCATCAGGCTCTTCTTCAAGGGGCAGCATGACTGTGATGCATTTATCTAACTATTCTTTATCAATAAAAACTCGGGAGTCAGATATCAGGGTAAGAACCTGAATGATCGGAGAAACAGCTAAGGGCTGAGCTCCTTTCTAAGCCCCGCCCTACTATTTCCTGTCTCTCTATCTATCCTCAGTCCTCCAAAACCTCTATTATTAATTTTGGTCAGCTTGTAGTGCTAGCTCCACCCTCTGATTCAAAGCAAACTTTATTGTCAGAATACAATCAAAATATCACACAACATGACTGTTTCCTATTGGATTAAGCTCTTGGATAGTAAACACATGTTCTTGTCTAGAAAACTCACTGATGCCTGACATTGGGTATACAAAGAAAAGTGAGGGATAATCTGATGGTGGCAAAATACACGTGGATTTGCCCCTTGACAGTGCATCCGGGAAAGAAGTACCAAGGGCTACGGAAACAGAGGAGGGACATCTGGTCTGCCTTTGGGAGGCCAAGAGGGCTTCCCCGAGTTGGTGACTCCTCCACTGAGTGTCAAAGGAAAACCAAGAGCTAAAGGAAACGAAGGGAAGGTCACAGGGGTCAAATGGCCCTAGAATTACTCTTTACATAAATTCACGTATGTCTACAAGTAACGAAAACAGAACAGAAGCTAATTCTTTTCCTGTTATGTAAAGTCTAGAAGTGATATAGTGGCCACTATCTAAAGCCCACAAGCCATTGCACCACCGTGCATGGCTTCCGTGTCCCACGTGACCTCTTGATCTTTGGATGGCTACAGGAGCTTCCGCCACAACAGCTGCGTTCCAGAAAGCATAAAGACGGAAGACAAGCAAGTCTTCTTCCTTCCTCCCTCCCTTCCTTTCTTCCTTCCTTTCTTTTTTTCTTTCTTTCTTTCTTTTTCTTTTTCTTTTTTTTTGGTTTTCTGAGACAGAGTTTCTCTGTGTAGTCCTGGCTGTCCCGGAATTCGCTCTGTAGACCAGGCTGGCCTCGAACTCAGAGATCTGTCTGTTTGTACCTCACAAGTACTGGGATTAAAGGTGTGCACCACCACCACCTGGCTTTTTTATTTGTTTGTTTGTGGTTTTTTTTGTCTCTCTCTCTCTCTCTCTCTCTCTCTCTCTCTCTCTCTCTCTCTCTCGATTTATTTATTTATTTATTTATTTATTTATTTATTTATTTATTTATTATTTGCCTTTTTCAACAAGTTTCTCAGCTGCCACGCTCTTCTCATTGTTAAAACTCATTGCATAAGGGAAGCTAGGAATGGAGTCTTTAACCAGTAGGAACAGAGAATAGCTGCTAAAACAAAAACAAACAAACCAAAAAAACTACCTGTGTCAGCTTGTAGGTGCTTGTAAGCGGAGAGATGCAGTACTCACAAAGGAGGGAAGAAATTTTTACTTTGTTTCAGGGCACAGATAAAGCTATGTAGGTCAGTTCCGGCTTTGCCTTTGGTTTGCCAAGGCACGGAGGAAATAAGCAGGTGCCAGGAGAGTGGCTGCCCGTGCAGAGCTTTATTCCGAGGAAGACGGGCATCAGTGGAGGGAGTTGTGGTCTAGAGGTCAAAGGGAAGGAGTACGGGGCCACCTTGGGAGGCAGTCATGGCCTCTGAGAACAGGGCCAGCCTGGGCTAGTAGGCAGCAGCGTCAGGGACAGGAGAAGCGAACAGATCCCTGAGATACTAGAGAGGAAGAACTGGTCAGTGTAGGTGAGACATAGGTGGAGAAGAGGAAAGATGTAGACACCAAAGGAGGGGCAGCTGGGTGGGATGACACCATCCATCAAGGTAACAGGCAATTCGGGAGGAGGGTGGGTGGGGAAGGGAGCTGGGTTTGGGTGTTGATCTCCACACTCAGATTCGGCTGATCTACTTCCTAGCTGCTTTGGTGAGGGTATAATTTACATACCATAAAATTCAGGTGAAGTTAGAACTGGGTGAGTCTCTGGGACATGACGGTTGAGCAACCACCACCACCCTCCAGTTTGGGAAGACTTGCTCAGCCCCCAGAAAGCTCCCTGGGTGCCTCTTCCCAGTGAGTAGAGCTCTCCATTCCCTCTTCGGGAATCCCTGCCTCATTTTCTGTTATTTCTACTCCTTAATTTTGTAAATTGATCAATATGATGACTGAGGGGTATTTTGCAGGGGACTCTGAAGACGGGGAACAAGAATTATCTTGGGGGCTTTCTCAGTTTTTACATCTATCCCCAACATGCTCAAGGGTGGTGTCACCTCCCTGCTTCCCCTCTCCCAGGGGAAGGGACCCCCTGTTAGGTAGAGGACCCCTCAGCATACTGGGTTTTATTAACTACCATGACAAATTTTTATTTTGTTTTATTAATTTAAAACAGATGCCAGTAATTATTTAGAGCTCAGAAATCAGTTATATCACAAATAACTGAAGAAATGATGCCTGACCAACCAGGGTGTAACACCTCAGTTTAGGAAACAGCCCTGGCTTCCCCGTAAGAATTAGATTGATAAGTGGCTCGATCACTACTCCTTCAGTAAGTTTTTGTTTGTTTGTTTTTAATTTGCTTTACTTGCATCCAGGCGTGGTGGTGCACACCTTTAATCTCAGGACTCAAGAAGCAGAGGCAGGTGGATCTCTGTGAGTTGGAGGCCAACCTGGCCTACATAGGCAGTTCCAGTTCAGCCAAAGCTACGTCGAGACTCTGCCTCAAACGAATGAACAAACAAACAAAAGAGATTTATTTTATGTTTAATTCCGTGCGTGGGTATGTGCAAGGGAGTACCAGTGACTTTAGGGGAGAGGAAGGGTTTCAGAGACTCGAACTCGAGTTACAGGTGGTTGTGAGCTGTCCAACATGGGTGCTGGGAACTGAACTCCAGTCCTCTGCAAGAGTGGTGGCATGCTCTTCATGGCTGAGCCATCTCTCCAGACTGCTCAGTAAGGAGTTTTAAGTGCAGCCCAGTCATGCGAAATCTTAAGGGTCTAGTCTCCCTCAATACAATAAGTATTTGGGGGGGGGGGCTGTGAATAATTTCCCATGTAAACAGGGGCAGGTGACTACTTCAGCACCAATGTGGTTCTATCCAATGTCTGAGGACAAATCCGTTTGAAGGTTCCTGGTGTTTCTAAGGCAAACTATCCCATCAGGGACCTGCTTCTTAGTACTTATCTTTAAGCTTATTACAGATATCCAAAGTCCCTTATATTCCATTTCAGTTTTATCTGTCTTGAGTAATGTTAAGATTTCTTAATTAGTTGCAAACAGTGTCAGCACTACGAAGCCCAAACCGCTGCTTTGGATCGGATAATTATCAGCCGCTTCTCCCTCTGCTCTCCCAATTGTCTCAAAGCATCAAGGATTCAAAGTGGCTTTAGGAAGGCAGCTGGGGTCCTATTGCATTTTCATTCCTCAGAAGGGCTTCTCTGCCATTTCAACCTCCCCCAGTCCATCCCAGCAGAGAGAAGAACCGCTATAGTTAACACAGGAGCAGCTTTAAAAACTGTTCTGTCACAAGAAACTATCGCATTGGACAGTCCGCAGGTTCAACCTTCGCTCAGCAAGCTGCACCAGCACTACAGCCTATCTCTAGAGAAAGTGACAGGAAAGGGGCCACAAGGAATTCCTTGGTCACATCCCTATTTGTTGGGTGCCTACTATGTGCCAGACTCAGGGCTGGGCACATAGTGATACAGCAGTGAATGAAACAAGAGACCCTGAATTCTGGGGCTGCCATTGTAGCAAGGCAAAATTGAACAAGAAATAGGATCAGCAAAGTGAATACACAGGTTAATGATGGGGAGGAGATTGGAAGAGCAAGATTTACGCTGAACTCCAATTGATATGACGTCACGCCATCCCCCAACAGGGCCCAAGAAGGAGAGCTTGGCAGCTCAGGATACTTCCTGGAGAAAGGGGGTCCGAGGAGATTGATCTGATGTGCAGAGGGGCGGGGGCAGAGGTTAAGTGCTCGACAGAGTCCGGATCCACTTCCCCCACGATGGAAAGCCACAGAAGGGTATCTCTAAGCAGGCAATAAGCATGGCGTGCTTGGCTCTGTGGAAAGCTCACTCTTTGTGTAAAATGCATGCTGGATCAGGGTAGGACAAGGAAGAGGCCAGGAGACCTGCCCAATTGAAGGATGTCTAGAAGACAGAGCTCTTAGCTGGGTCTTGAGGATGATGGTGACAGGTCAGTTTCCCTGTAAGGGGGATTTTCGATGTTTACTAGAGGTGGTAACCTCCAGGGTCAGCAATCTAGGCCACGGAAGAAAAGTGCATGGCTCTAGAAAGGAGCTGTCAAGACACAGTGGTTTGGTATCCTTTGACCAAAACCAAATTGAAATATTGATAACACATATCAGATATCACAGGTTTGTGAATAAATGCATCTTACCATGTTGGCCACAAAGAAGAATTCTTCAGAATGAGCTTTATTTTCCATAGTATTTCTGGAGATGTCTCTTCATGTGCAGGGAAGTGTAGAAATTCTCAATAACTTCCATCACTTATGGATGCTAGCCAGGATCTCATCCCTGAATATTAGTGCAGTCCCTAAGTGAATGAGGCAGGGAAGGGAGAAGACAATGGAAAGGCAAGAACCAAGGGTGTAAGAAATACCATTATCTTTTCTGTTTGCCATCACGGCAAGATTAGAGAATGACAATGAGAACGTTTCTGGGCAGTCATTAGTCATGATCATAATCTATGTTATATAGGGAAGAAAGGGGGCATTTAACTATAAACAGATGCTCACATATATAGTCTGCGCATAGAAATTTTCTAAGAAGATTTAAAAAACACACACACAAAGGTTGCCTTTAATCCCAGTACTTGGAAGGCAGAGGCAGGAGGATCTCTGTGAGTTCAAAGCCAGCCTGGTCTACGGAGTGTGTTCCAGGACAGCCAAGGCTACACAGAGAAACCCTGTCTTGAAAACAACAACAATAACAACAACAAAGCCAAAAGCCAAAAAAAACAAAAACAAATAAACAAACAAAAGACACCACAAAGGTTACCTTTGGGGAGTTGGAATGAGGTTAGACAAAAGAGAAATGTTTACTTTAAACAGTATATCATTCTGCTTAGTTTTTTTTAATGTGAGGACATATTAATTCATAAGTATAATAATAAGGATATGCAGTGGAGGCAGGTATGCCAGAATCCATGGACCGGCTCCCTAATCACCTGGACCATTTAAGAAACTGGATTGTTATCCTGTTGACTGCTGCCTACGGCCATTCTACTGTTGTCTCAGGGCATACCTCAAGGACATCAACTTCTGGAAGCTCACCTTTTGAAACACCAGTTCTTCGGCCTTCTTGCTTGCACTGGACACTTATCCCTAGAATATGGACTTCAGATCTTTACACTGTTGCCCTGGGAGGATCAGCCTCTCTATTGTTTTTCCTTGATGGATTGCCTCAGATGTGTTAGGCGTGGAGATTCTAGCTACTGCAGGATTTAGGGTGTCTAGAGAGTACAGCTAAACCAGCCAGAACACCCCAGGCAGCAAGGAAGAGGAAAAGGCGGCACTCAAGTTCAACTCTTTCTTCTCTTCATGGTTTGTCTGATGCCATTTTGTTGTGATCAATACTTTAACCACAGAAGCGAAGGATAGGCTGTTACCTCAAATGCCAAATCCATTCGACTGCTGTTGCCTGTCAGAAGCACTACGTGAAAAGAATCCTGAGACCAAGTCTGAGCTCTGCAAGAAATATGGAGTTAGTCATTGATTAGTGATGTCTGTATCGGCCCCGGTAGAGACCACTGAAGTGTGTAGGCCAGTCTCATCCTCCCTGGAGTTCAAACCCGCTTTTGTCCTCAAGTAAGATGAGTAATTCAGATTCCCCCAGCTGATATGGATCCTTCTTCCCACAATATTCATAACACTTGGTTCAGACTCCTGGCACACCTGCCACAGCCTGCCCCGTGCCCACATTAGTCACATGTGAATGTGCATCTCTTTCCATAACTCACTGCTCCTTGCGTTCATCTCCCACCCCACACCACCCCAGTCTCCCCTGACACCCCATGGCACACTATACCTACCCAGCACACAGACTGCTTATGGAATGCGACTCTGTGAAACGGAGTATTAGTGCCGTCCCTTAGTGAGGAGAGAGCCCTGAGGCAGTGTAGCCAGGGACGGGAGAAAGTATGAAGAGGGAGGAGTCAAGGGTGTGATGCTGTCCCCGCGGATGACTGCTGCCATAGGCTGCCACTAGCTTAGCAACTTGAAACACACATTTATTACCTTACAGCGTGGTGGGGCTGTGTTCCTCCGAGAAGAGGCTCGGGAAGGATTCTCTATCTCAGTCACGTCCTGCTGCAGAGGCCGCCCGCATTCCTTCCTCCTGACCCGGCAGGAGCATCTGCCAGGCCCTGTGCTTCCCTCCTTCCCACCACCTTGTCCACAGAGCCCTGTGTTTGCACTGACCCGGCAGGCTTCCTCCTGGACGGTCTCTGGCGGAACCAGCTGATAGACAGCCTTCCTTCTCCCTGTAACTTTGCCTCTCAATTGCCGTGTGTTACAGGGGGACTCTGGAGTGTCTTCACATGCTCATGTTTGCTTCCCAGGTGGTGGTGCTGTGTGTGTGTGTGTGTGTGTGTGTGTGTGTGTGTGTGTGTGTGTGTGTGTGTGCGTGTGGCGGGGGAAGGTTGGGGGGATTTGGAACTTTTAGGAGGTGGGACCTAGCTGGGAGAAGTAGGTCACTAGAGGCAGGCTTGTGGCAGTCAGAGCCACCCCTGCTTCCAGCTTGCTCTTTCTGCGTCTCGGCGAACATGCTCTCGCCACCATGAATTTGGACATTGTGCCCCACAGCTGTGACAAACTGAAACTCTGTAGCTGAGCCAAAATAAACCTGTCTTCCCGTCAGCTCTTGTGGATTTCTGTCACACCGACTAGAAAGCCACTAATATACCACGTAAAGGGCATATTTACAAGCTCTGGGGGTTAGGATGGTAGGATGAGGACATCTTGGGAGGGACCGTTATCCTACCTGTGATATCCTCGATTATACGTGAAAATAACCTGGCCTTCTAGTAGGCTGAACAACAGCTGTTTCTCACAAGTCAGAATCAGAGTTCCCTTCATGTTCCTCACAGAACCCGGAAGAAGCTGCTTGTGGGTCCCAGGAGTAGTAGGGAGGACTGCTATGTCATCATGCAGGCTCCAAGGTGGCATTTGCCAAGCTGCAAGGTCCTTGCAAGCTTCTGTGGTACTGGGCACCTTGGCTGGGGCAGCCAGCTGTTCTGGAGCCCTGCAGGATACTTCCCTGGCCCCGAGGCCAGGCTGGGGGTCTACTGGGGACCTTAAAAGAACCTGCCTGGAGGCTGGAGGTTTGTGGGACGGTATGCTTTGCCTCCTGAAATGTGCCCATTTTCTGAGCTTCCTGCCTCAGGTTTCACGGGGTAAAGAATTACAAAAGGCCCAGCTACTTTTGTGCAAGGAGGGAAGAGGAGGACAGAACACACAGGAGAAAACATACATTAATACCTCAGAAATGTCTCAGGCCACACCTTTGCCCGACTTTGCCTACAGCCTGTCTCAGCTCCATAAATACCTCATTACAGCCCTGCCTGAGGGCTGCTTCCCACATATGTCTCAGGACTCAGCCCTCCCTAAGCCCTGCACAGGAGTTAGCCACCCTGTCTGCTGGCCATGGTGTTGTAAATGACCAGGCCTGGCAGGGCACACAGGAGCCTCCCACTGTGCGAGACTCGTCACCACTGCTGGCAAGGGGGCCACCCTGACTTGAGAAGAGATCTATGAAGACTTATTGGGGGAGGGCTGGCTACTGGAACAGAGCCGTGTTAAAGACAAGTGAGCCGCTGTTGGAAGCAGGAATATTTAGTAATGGCATGGGGACAAACATTGGGTAGGGAGGGCCTTCCTAGAATGTGTAGTTTGCTATTTGCTTTGTGGGAGAGGAGAGTCTTCTACCTCTTCTGGAAAATGTACATGAAAAGATGTGAGTTTAACGGCTGTGAGAGGCACAGGGAAGTCCTGAGAGGGCGAGCCCTTAACTTGGCCCCAGAGGCACAGGTGGCCTTGGCTGAGGCTCCGCAGGAGGAGCCTGCAGAGTGGAGGGGGAGGGGGCTGGCGGCAAGCACCCCGTGGGAAGTCCATGAAAGTCTTCAAGGCTCTCCAACCTATCGGTTCCTTTACCAGCAAAGACCAGCCAGACAAATCTCACTCTTTCCCTTTTAGGATTCATTTAAACATTTCCTGTAACTCTCCAAAAGATGTTTACCTTGATATCTAGGAAACATTTGCATAACCCCCCTGAAATGTGCCTGTTGACTTTGTTCTGGTGTTAGTTGCTGTGTCTGACATGACTTCCCTAACGCATTACTGAGATGGAAGCCCCAAGTGTTGTGACCACAGTTGGGGCTGCCCAGCTTGCTTTTCTTAGGGGACCTCACACCCAAGATCCAACTAATCTGTCAATTATGAACCTCCCCCCACCCCCTGCACTGTGTAGACACAATGATTGGTCAGGGATAGACACATGACCCAGGTTTGGCCAATCACAGGACCCCTTCTTCTGCAATGGTCTACATGGGCACAGGGTGAACACAGTGATTAGTCAGGAGTGGACACATGACCCAAAGCCTTGTCCAGGTTCAGGATCACTTCCCTTGGACATAGTGATTGGTTCACGATGATCACATGGTCTTAGCAAAGGCAATGTGAGTTCTTCTGGGGAGATGGGCACACGTTAGTTTGAAGAGAGCTGTGCTGTCTGCTGGGGCTGCTCAGCTGGGCCTTTCCTGGCCTGAGGAGGTAGCCTTTGGAGGAAGGGGGAGCTGTGGGAGGAGGGAGGCAGATTGACACCGTGTTGAAGTTGGAATCCAAACACTCCTGAGCTTTTTCAGTTGAGTGAACTGAGAAATTCCCTTCTCATATTTAAGTTCTTTTGAGTTGAGTTTCTGTGACTTACAACCCAAAGGAGTCTAACGCCTTCGTGGAACGACAAGGTTTATAGAGAGCGGATGCTCCAGGCACTGTTTTCCCTGATTCTTCCCTGTGGTCATCATGGCTAATGTTTCATTTGCAGTGTGTGTGCCTACCCCACCCCCACCCCCCACACCCACATCCTCAGCGGTCCTATGGCATTGAGAGACGGAGTGGACTGTTCTTGTCCCCACCTCATCAACAGTATGCTGAACGACAGCATAATGGGGCCATGCTGATGCTGGTAGTGAAGCGCCCGTCGTAAGAATGCCTGCACCGGGAAATGTGTGCCCTGAAGCCCCGCCCCCCAAGGCTGCCCTGGAATGGTGCACAAGAATGCAAGCTAGTTGCAGAAAGGCAAGATGGTGCAGTGGTGTAAGGCATGGTCTCAGGAGCCAGACTCGTGTTCCATCGCAGGGCCACCGGTTTTGCTAGCCAGCATAGAAACTAAACTTCTGGCCTCTCACTAGCCTTGTCTGTACAGCAGAGCAATGATAACAACCAACCCAGAGGGCTAGGCTGTGTATTTAGCCTGTTACTGTGGCTACTCAGCAGACCTAGACTCAGACCTAGACTCAGAAACAGACAGCGCAGGCCCAGCATCCCACGGACCATCCATGAAATCCTAGCCTACTCTTTTGCTAGTTGTGACGCACTGTGAGTCAGTGTCCTCAAGTCGAAGTTTCCTATCCGAGAGAAGAGGATCATAGCATCTCCTTCTTTCAACTGTGTGAGGACCGGATGCAACAAGGTTGTAGACTGCTTGATACATAGCAGATCCTCAGGACACCTGTGCTATCAAGGGGATCAAAGTAGCTCTTTTTTAAGAACTTGAGAGTGACCCACCCCAGACACCTGGGAAAGCAGCAGACCCTGCCAAGTGTGAAGTGTGATAAGGGGCATTCAACCTGATGCAGCAGCATCTCTGGAAAGGGCCCCCAACCCTTGCACCCAGACACACACACTTGCACATACAAACACACACACACACACACACACACACACACACACACACACCAGGGACCTCTCTTTTCCCATGGTCTAGAGGGGATTGCTGTGATAACTAGCTGCAATGCTTACTTTCTCTTTTTACGTACCTTAAATCAAATGGCATACGCTGACGCTTTGTTCAAAGAATTCTTTCCTTGTGCAACATACAACCGTGTCCTCTCCCAGGCATTTCCTTGACACTTCACCCTCCTTCAAAGGGTTCCTGTTCGGAAAGACTCAGTTATTATAAAGAAATAACATTTATTTGAATGTAGCTTGAATAACATTACATTTTACCTTCAACAGTTTTTTAATTGAATACTTGAAAATTCACACTTTATACAGATTTAAATATATTGTTACACTAAGATTACAGACACAGACACAGACACACACACGTGCACATGCACACACACACACACACACACACACACATACACACACACACACACACAGAGTTTTTCTGTTCTGAATATCAAACCCAAGCCTCACACATATTAGGCAGGTGCCTCTGCCCTTAGCATCATGTATTTATTCTTTCCCTCGAAAACACTAATGCTGTCGAAGGAAAAGACTTAAACTTTAAAGATTTTAAAAGAACATGGATAGGCTTTTTTTTAAAATCAGTTTTAAAGTTGCAATTGGAGAAATACTGACAAAGTCAACCATTGTGTGGAGGACATCAAGGGTGAAGCCAACAGCATGGCTGAGCCATTTTAATGGGGAGAATGGGAAATCACAGCCTCGACAGGGCCACGTCTTTGAGAGGACAAAGAGATCGCAAATGGAGAATAAGGCATTCTCGCCCTTGCTGCCTCTGGCTCCTGTGGGAACAGAGCACCAATTTCTGTGTCTCCCCTCAAACTTGGTAGGCAGGTGCTCTGAGGAGGGGATAGAAGTTGCATTCAAGTCAAGAGAGACTGCTGAGTGCCCGGATCCATAAGTC